TGCAAACATGACCGTATCCGCGTTACGCGTCTCTGATTGGTTGTTCGCTTCAGCTGAGATCGCCGGGCGGCAACATGAAGGGCGCGGGGACGCGATTTTTCTGTTTGAAAATATGCACTAAACGCTGTTTTCCAGGACTGCATAGCCACATCTAGTGAAAAAGTGCACAATTAATATAAATTTGGGGGGAAATATTTGTTTCTTTGTCGATTTATGGTGTTGATTTATGGAACCCGGAAGTGCAGCCGAGACCAGCGCGCAGCGTAGACCAGCGTGGCAGTTTGACGTGTACGATCAAAACATAAACAAAACTCCCGCTGAAGAAGGGAAATTATCCTGTATGTATGCATTTCAGATCCCAGTGACTATGTTTACGATGGGAATAATTGTGGATACGCACGATGCGCACGATAAGCCTCAGAAATTTATGTCGCAAGTGGGGCATTCTATAGGCTTGCACGGCCAATGTCTGGCACGCTACGCGGCGTACGTACACTGCTGCACATCACAGCCAGCGATTCAGTGTCTTAAAATATTTTTTAACATCAGTATAACAATATTTTTAAGCATATGTGATCAAATTCCTGTAAAAAAAAAAGTTGCACAATTGTAAACATAAAACATGAATAGATCGCTGCTATACTGGGCGTACCATTTCGCGTACATGGCCGGCTGCCCGGCGCAAATACTGTCCCGATTTTTTTCAGTAGAAAACCAGAATAAATCACGCACCCGTAATTTGGCTTCGACCCAGAGCTCCTACTTCAGAGTTGAAACCTCAAAAATAGTAACTTTATTAGAGCATGGAGGTATTAGAGCATGGAGGTATTATACCTCTATGATTGGAAGAAATATAGTATTGCGACACGTGCATAGAATTTGACAAATGGGGGGGGGGCGTGGCGCTACCTAAAATTCTGCTGCGCTACCTAGTTTTTGCCCTAGGTAGCACACTGTGCTACTTTGCTCGAAAAAGTATTTCGAACACTGCGTTAATCAACAGTCCATACCGAACCAACCGTCAGTAGCCATCAAACCGGCATACAAACATATTACGCACATAACTTTCATACTACACACAAACAAATAACCTAAACCAATAGAAAAAAAAACCGGAGGTTTGAAATCTACGATTTCCCTTGTTGTACCTGTAAGCAACTTTGGTGTTATTTGAGATAAATGTATTACTTACTTGTGATGTTGTTTAGTTAGTTGGCTGCTGACTGATGATGCAATAGTGATGACCTCTGTCTAAGCCTGTATTGGACCAGATCATGTGATTTGAAGAACCCTGACAAATATCGTGAGAAAAAACTGCACTTTACCAAGCATATACATTTTACTTGGTATTGTAGTTTGAGACAAGTGTATACCTTTTCATGTCTGTATAGTGGCTGCTGAATGATGCAGTAGTGAGGACTCCTGTCAGAACCTGATTGTGACAAGACTGGATTGGACCAGACCAAATCAGATTTGAAGACCCAAGAGGAATATCAGGTGAGAAAAACCTTGAATTGTACATTTCACCTGTTAGTGTTACCTAATTCTTTTTATTTGAGACAAGTGTGTAACTTGTAATATATGTATAGTTAGGTGGCTGCTGACTGATGCAGTAGTGGGGACTCTGTCTGAACATAGCAAGACGGATTGGATCAGACCAGGTGATTTGAAGACCCAAGAGGAATATCAGGTGAGAAAAATCCCAATTCTGCATTTTACTTACCATTTACTTGGTATTATTTTAAACACTTGTTTAACTTGTAATGTATGTATAGTTAAAGGTTGGTGACTGATACAGTGACTGCTTTCTGAATCTGACAACAGTGGATTGGACCAAACCAGGTATTGAGAAATATCAGGTGAGAAAAATTCTGCATTTTGCCTACCATTTGCTTAGTACTATATTACAAGTATGTAACTTATGTTTCTATTGTTAGGTGGCTGCTGGCTGATGCAGCAATGACGGTGATGCCTGTCTAAATCAAATCTCAGTGATCAGTTTTGAAGACCCAAGAGGAATATCGGTGAGAACTTAAAAACTAAATTGCAAATTGTACCAGTAGTAGTTTTCTTAGTGTTAACTGAGACGAGCATGTAACGTTTTAATGTTTTTGTAGCTAGGTGACTGCTGACTGATGCAGTTGACTGCAGTGATGACTCTAAACCCGACAAGACCAAATGTTCGTGTTCTGAGAAACCTGGTGACCGGCAACTTCAGTCCAGACCAGCAAATCAGATGACCTGAAGACAGTGAGTTTGTACAGGTAAGACAATGGTCATCAATTTACAAGTTATATTTTTCTAAGGCATTTCACAATTCTGAGGCATGTCGCAATAGATAACAACATTCTACAGCCTCGGATTTTGTACATCTATTCAACGAAAGGGATTGCCCAATTGTGCAATTTTATCACTTAGTCTATCTTTAATGGTCATTCAGTGTTGCATCACAATAACCATCTGTTCATATCGGTAGGTGTGTCCTGAGTGTCAGCTATCCTGATATTCCTGTCCTGACAGGGAGAAACCTGTGATGACCAGGGACTCTTTGTCGAAACCAGACCAGATGAGGGCTGAGAAGACTGGTTGACTTGAAGACTGGTGGAATAAAGAGATTTTACAGGTGAGACAATGCTTTTCAACTTACAAAGCAGTTTACCTTAGACTTGTTTCGTTTTGGATCAGAAGAAAGTCTGGCTTTTTACGATGTTTATGTAACGTTCCCCAGTGAAAAAAACAGTTGTGTTGTAGGCAGTATAATTATACTATCCTTACTTAAGGTGAATTGCTCCAATATATACTGACCAGGGCTCAACAAATTTTTCCTGTGGGTGCACCAGTGCACCCAAATATTTTCTTAGGTTTAACGTGTGTAAAGATGTTAAATGTGTAGAAGTTACAGCATATTCTTAAAAAAATAGGATGCTCCTTGATTATATAAAATAGGATGCTCCTGAAATAGGATGCTCCTATTTCACTTTTTTTTGTCATATTCTTAGCATCCAAGTGTGAGAAAAAATAATACAATCATTGTTATAGTACTTTTCTTGAAGTGAAACATAATTATAGTTTTTCTGACATTCTACTTATCTTATCATACATGGTGCACCTAAAATATTTTTTGTGCACCCAATTTTTTAGGTTGGGTGCACCAGTGCACCTATTCAAAATATGAATTTCGAGCCCTGCTGACTTTTGTTTTCCTCTCCCCACATGACTCGTGGTGGAAGGAAGGAAGGACCAGACTTTTACCAGTAAAGCAGTGAGAGAAGACACAGGCTGGGGTCAAGTTGTGAGTATAGTTTATTTGTGTAACACAACAAAGTACACACACTTGCATACATTTCTATCCTTCTACCCTCTAAGTCTAAGTCTGCTTTGCACAATTTCCTTTCCCACTTACTTGTAACCTTCACTGTCAAACTTACGGTGGTTAAACTTGGCTCATATCTGCTCTTACGTAATTTGAACCTGCGTCTTCAGGCCATTTTTTCATGGATACCTTGTATCAGAGAGAAAGTTTTGCACAAATAAACTGTTTTCTGGAAAGTACACCTATTCGGTCATTTAGGTGTGGACATGTAAAAATGCTATACATGTAATTGCAAATTCAAAATGATATTGCAAATACAAACATTTGAGATCACAATCAAGGAGCATGCTATTTTGTTAGGAACAAAAGAATTTTTTTGAGAATCACTAGTTAACAAACTCTTGTGTCCAGACACCGGCTTATTTTGAAAAGTTTCACAGCTAGCCACAGAAAAGAATACCAGACCACCATGCTCATTTCTCTTTCACAACTCTTTAATTTTTAAATGCTTCACATTCTGGACTACTTGTCATTGGACCTTTACTTACAACATCTTTCTTCCCTAACTCTTCACTCAAACTTGCATGGTACATCACCCCTTTCCACTTACCGGTAACTTCCCTAACCACTTGAACTCTTCACTTAAAATCTTCCTCTGTTTTGTTCACACTTTTGTACGCTCAGCTTTTCGGTCAAAGGCCCCATTCCCACCAGGATAAAATTGTCCGGATCAAGTAAAATTGATTCGCTTTGTTTCTGCTTCAAGCCGGATCAAAGTGAATCAATTTGGCTTGATCCAGACAATTTTACCGTAGCTTTTAATTACACGATACGTCACTCTTTTCTGCGCTCTGATGCTTCACATACATTCTCTTTTCCTTACCTTTTAGCCGGGTGCCATTGTCCATAGTTTTTGCCCGCTCCCTAATGTCACTGAGCACCACCATGGGAGCGGGCGAAAACTACGGAGGATGGCACCCAGGCTACTTGCCTTTCATTCTTGAACTCTGGTTTTAATTGCACGGTACGTCACCCTTTCCAAACACTTGAGTCACACTCTTCTTCCACCTGGAACACAAGACAACACTCCACTCTGAGGGTCTGGATGCCTTTTTTGAGAAGCCGATCACCGTTGTTGCAAAATGTAATTGGCCACTTGAATTCCACATTGTTATCCTGAATTCCACATTGTTATCCTGAATTCATTGCAAAATTGTCACTTTGGACCTGAACACTTGGTTGATTAATTTTTTGCCAAAACCCTGCCTGCCAAAAAACACTTTGAATATGTGGGACCCTGAAGTAGATAATTAATTGGATTAACTTTTCCCGCCAAAAACTTAGTATATGGGCATCCTGACCTTTGACCTCTACTCACTTAGCCACCACACTTCTGCTTGCTACACCCAACCAACTCACACTGTTCCAATGCTTTGAACCTTTACGCTTAACTTTTCCAAACACTTTGTGATACTCATGCTATGTCCGACCAACCTTCCAAAACACTTGGTTGCTGGAGTGAGACTTTTCTGCCAGATTTATTGTCACTCTACTGATCAGTCAATTGCACAGGAATGCTGGTGTGTCGAAGCACCGTGTCTCCGCAAAGACATCCCCAGGGGAGCAAACTTCTGTGCATTGACTGACCAGTAGAGTGACAATCATTCTGGCAAAAAAGTCTCACTCAAGTAACCAAGTGTTTCGGAAGGTTGGTCTGACATAGCATGAGTATCACAAAGTGTTTGGAGATGTTAAGCGTAAAGGTTCAAAGCATTAGAACAGTGTGAGTTGGCTGGGTGTAGCAAGTAGGAGTGTGGTGGCTAAGTGTTCAGGGAAGTGAGTAGAGGTCAAAGGTCAGGATGCCCATATACTAAGTTTTTTGGCGGGAAAACTTTAATCCAATTAATTATCTACTTGAGTGTCCCACATATGCTAAGTGCTTTTCGGCAAAAATTTTTATACAATGCATGAGATCCAAAGAGTCAATTTTGGGGGAATTAAAGCTGCCAATTATACAATAACAAGTAACTAAGGCCTAGGAAAAAAAATGTTGTGTTTCCGGTTACCCGACCGACCCTATGAAAAACCCCCCGACCCTAGCCTTTTTTGGGCCGACCAAAAATTTCGAGCGGCTAGCGGTCGGTTTTCAAAATTGGGGATTTTATCCCCGATAAATTATGTGCTCGTCATTCCAATTTTCTTCGGTCGGGCGGCGTGGATCGAGCGCAAATAATTTGCACGGATCGGGCCGCTATTCAATTCCATTGTCGGCACAATCCTGTCAATTGACGATGAATTGTCGATCTCGCCATGACGCCACAAAGAAAACGTTGTCATTGGTAGAAAATCTGACACCCCGCTGGCGTTTCACAACAAAATTTTCATGTAAACAACTCCGACTGTCTTTGTTTACATCGCGAAAGCTCACCGATACAAAGTAAAACTCCCGCCGGCCGGCCGCGCCCGATCGCATGGTTGCGGCATGGCGCTAAGTTTTCGGCAGCTCGACGGAAAAATAATCCATCCCCAGAAGAAATGTTACGCATGAAAATAACAACTACAACTTGTTTTCCTCGTTATATGAGTTTTTGAGGCCGTAAAATGTTTAAAACGGTTGAAATTTGCTCGAAAAAACGGCTCGAAAATTCACGGCGAGAAAGACAACATGGCCGACCTGTTTTCACAATAAGAATGGTCAAAGGTCAAGATAGCATCCAAATGTATAGATACATGTAATAAGTACATATTACAGTGCTAAAACGATACTTTAAACGCATGAAAAATATTTTTTCGGCTACAACTGAAATAAGAATTCAGTTATATTTTAGTAAGGTTAATTTTCAAACATTACTGAGAAATTTTCCGAATTAATTGGTTTCTTGTGTAATATTGTTGTTTCTATGTATGTGCGGTTGGATGCTGTCATTGTAAAGACCCTTTACATATTGGGAGAATCAGATGAGATATTAGAGATTATCACGCTTAGTACCGTGACCCGAGTGTCTCTCAAAAAATTGTTTTTGAGTGGAGTTTATAAACATGATCACATTTTTATTTGTTCAGCTGTGTCAATATGTGATTTGTTTGAGAAATAGGATTTGGTTTAGTTTTTAATATATTAATGTCAGTTAACATCTTTGGAATAAATTGCTCCAAGTTCCAGGTAGTAAATACATGTACATTTTGTATCATGTATTTTTCACTTGTTGAACTTGTGGAAGCACCGTTGGCCCCCGGTTAGGGGTCATCCGGGGAACCTATGCCCAATTTTTTCCAAATTAAGGGTAGAATTTTTTTGAACATGAGGATAATTAAGTACAGATCTTGAACCTTTCTACTGCCTTATACATCTGCAGTTGTACAGAAAATGTAGAACTGAAGTTGCAGGAAATGACCTCCATTTGTGTTTGGAAAAGACAAAATGCAATAGCTTC